GGAAGGGGTTGTCGCCACGAAAACACGTGTGTACTACGCGTTCATCGATGACACCCTCGCTTTGAGGGTCGTGGCGGGGCTGGGGTACGACGACCATGATTGTCTTGACGAGGTTGTAATGGACGCAAAAAAGTTTTCGGATGTCGTTCCCAACGCCTGCGAACCCTCGACTTCGATATGATTGGTCATTTGCAAAGGTGCATCGTGTCAGTCGTTGAGGTCGAGCATGTGGAAAGGTTAGCACGCAACGCATGGTATTTCTCCAAACTCGACCGACCGCTGCAACACCGTAGTTGTCTCCACGGAGATGTGCGCGGTGTGTTGCCAAAGGACGGTTGCGGACAACAGTGCCAAAGTGCCAACGAACCATCATCCCGCTCGTCTCATGCGTAGTCTGAAACAGGTGGGTTGACGAACAAAATCGTAAAGGTTTTCAACATTCGACAGTGTTCGAGACCGCGACTACCCGCTCATCCCATATATATGTATACAGGGCGTTCCCCCTCCCCGTACGGTACATGCAGAATATCATGTTTGCGTTATTCGTTACTTGATCGTTGGGTTCATAACTTACGGTGTTGGTTTCTGTGAATTGCAGCATTTTTCAAACGTCATACGAAAGAAGCGACGATGCATTGCGCGCCAATGATTTTTCGATGTTACCACACCACAAAACTGGCAGGCGGCGACACCGTATACTATTACGAATAAATGACTCCCGTAACAAATCCTGTCGGCGATGCAGTGGGATACCGCAATGGAGACAAGAAGGTGGATCGTCATTTCGTTGTCAGCGCCGAGGAGGAACGAGTCGTCAGACTCACTACAGAGACTTATATTTGTGACCACGTCATCGAACACGTTCATGTCCTAATGTCTAAGCTGACCACGTACTTCAGTACCTTTGTTTCAAACCGGTCGACGGTGATTTGATGTATGATATCGTCTTCCCCCTTGTGCATCGCATACTATACACACACTACGGGACGGTCGCTTGGGACGACGTCCGGCGCCTGGTCGTGTCACCGCCCTATTTTATCTCCGATGGCGAGGATTTCTCTGCCATGTTTTATCCTTGCACTGCGATCCAGCAATGAGTACCATTCATTTTTTTTTTCCTATGTTCCTTCGTTGTTGGAGAGAGACAAAATGATGGTTTCAAAGATTGTACATTTTGTGTATACATATGCAATCGTCATCTCCCATGTGTTTGTTATATGTTTTCAATTTTTTTTATTTGCCTGTTTTGCGTTTCGAAATTTGTTTTTGTTTTCGTTATGTGGAGGTATAGTACTAAGGTAACCGGTGCCCGTAATGTTCTGTTTTGTAAATTTTTAAAAATTCACATATAAGCGACAAAACAATATTCACCCATTCCCATACATGGACCGCCGACGACGCAGGGCTGGCGTGTGGGCCGACGCAGTCGTGTTTGGAAATGGGACAGATACAGATCCTTTCCGCGACGAGGAGCTGACAATCGCCGAGATTAGGAGTCAATGGCCGGGACCCGCAGCGCTTTTGGAGGAGGCTGTGACTTTTGCTGGGCTGGAGGAGCATCTGCAACAGTGCCTGAATCTGCTTATTGGTCGTGCAAATCTTGAACCAAAGAAGAATCGTTACAATGGATATGTCGTTTTTTCTCGGTTATGCGGGTTCGTCGTTTTCCGACAGAGATTGCCAAATGAGTTCCAAACGGCAATGCGGGAACGATGGCCAGATACAATCATTTGAGGTTTTGAACTACGACAATGTGATCCTCCTGAAAACGCACGCCCACGTCGGCGTGCACGGCGGTAAATGCTTCACAACACGAGAGATAGATAGATAAATAGATAGATAGATAGATAAAGAGAGAGAGAGAGAGAGAGAGAGAGAGAGAGAGAGAGAGAGAGAGAGAGAGAGAGAGAGAGAGAGAGAGAGAGA